CCCCCCCCCCCCCGCTTCCTGCTGAGTCAGAGCTAGAGCTCACCAATCAGCAGGGAGCATGAGCTTTCCTGACTGCAGAGCAATAGGTCTAACTTAACAGGGGCATGTTGGACCTCTGCATAGAGAACACTGTTTCCACACAGAAAGTAAGAGTTCTTCTCTGAGAACAGTCTTTTCTACTCAGGCCATGGCTGCTTTGTAAGGAACTTACCTGTTTCTCAGGCATTGTGTCAAATCTTCATTCTGTTCCAGAGCTACCAAAGGTGTCCTCATAATGAGGTAGTCTGGTATCGCAACAGCTAAGCTGCCCACCACCTCCCACCACCTCCCACTCTCCCGGTTGACAGCTCAGCCTCCTGCTGCCTCCCGCTCGTCCACCCACCGGGCGGTGAAAAAGGTAGGGACAGCCCTGTGTGTCACTGTCATCTGAGACTTTTGGGTGTGTCAGATAGTATGTACCCTGCTCCACTCTGTGGTTTCATCTGCTGGCTGTTACATCACTACTGTGTCCTGTAGTGACATAGCGTCTGGCAGGAAGGACAACAGCACCAAGCAGGGGGGGACACTATCAGTCACACCAGTCAATGTAGTATAGGAGGAATAGAACAAAGTTTTGACACATCACCTTACCAGACAGGAAAGTATTTAGTTTGATCGATTACAGTTTGGTTTGGGTTCACATCTTTTACCAGAGCAAAAGGGTGATTCAGGCACAACAAGAAAGAGAAACAACATTGTGAAGTGGCTTATAAAGCATGTAAGCAATGGCACCCTTAAGGCATTCTGCATGATGGCATGATGACATGATTCCATTACTGTGTCCCAACCAAAGAAAGCAAAAGTACACTTTCATAGCCTTGGCAGACAGTTTTTGTCGGTGTAGAGCCAAAAAGAAAACAAAATATTTCACTGTTTCTTCGCACAGTGGTTCTTGCCAATAGCATTTTTTCGAAAGGGAACCTAAACTTGAAACTAACTTCAAACTGCATTTCCTCTTTTGACAGAGACCCACTTTTTATTCCAGTGAAAGAAAACACATTGTTTACAAAAAATACTGGGTTTTCATAAATACTGGGAAAGATATCTTAAAACCACAAAAAAAGGCCACAGTGCTTAGCGCAGAACTAGCGATGTCTAAAAAGGAACTTTAGCCACCAATTTAATGTCTCCAAATGTCAAGGTTCTCAGTGTGCTATTTTCAGTTCCAACTAACCTTTGAAGCTCTTAAATGGCTGATCACATTAACAGCAACATGATAACTGCAATCCAAATAGAGGCTAAGATGGCATTGTCCTTGGCTGAAAGGGATAGGAGGTTTTAGTTCCACTTTAATGTGGAACTAAATGTGGAATTTGGAATTTCAGCTTCAATTGTTGCTTATTGAAACCTGAATGTTGAAGCAATTGTTTTGCAAAAACAATCTATGAAACCTACAGTGCAATAAACTGTAAATATGACAATCTGAGGAACCCAAATAACAGATTGTATGATTCTTTTTGGGGTTCTGGATAAATGCGAGTGTTGCAATGCAGCATGCCCTTTGTCTGTTAGGTACCATAGATTATCTGCAGGTTTTCTATGGTCAGATGGAAAAAGTGCAACAGATTCCTCCATCTACGCTAAACTGTGGTGGATGGAGGAATCTCTCGCTGGGCCAAGCTTCATTATCTTGCTAGTCGGCCCTGCTGGCTGTCAAAATACATTAACAATCTGATTGGATGCAGGCATTGTTCAGGTGTTTTGAGAGCCAGCATATCTGCTCCTACACTTGGTCAAACAGGTGCTGGGAATCTGGGGTTGGTACATAGAGGGACCAGGATGGCTGGAGAGAGACAAGAGAGAGAGGAAAGAATAACACATACATTGTAAGTGTATTTTCATTAAAAGTAAATGTACCCACAACCCCTAGCACTATTGACCTAAACCACCCAATTAACTGAAGCAGAAGGTACCTCAGACCAGTGACATGTGGTACCAGGAAGGAGACAGGGGGGAGCCTCCCTGTTCCTCACTTGCTCGTCACTGGTGAGGCATAGTGATCGATGTCCTCAGTGTTTGTTTTTTTTTCTTTTTTCTGATTGGACAGCTTGGACCAATGGCGCTTTGCCATTGGTCCAAACCATCCACAGAGCTCAAGCCTCTAACATAGAGTAGGGGCTGTTGCAGCTCTTGCCTCACTATGTTAGGTTACACAAGCAGTGGGGAAGCCCGCTGCTGTGTAGCCTAACTAGCTGTCACAAAACGGATGCAACGCCGCCTGTAATTAACATGCAGCGCCCAGTCCATGACAGGTTACATAATGGGGAGGCTTTCCCTGCTGTGTAACCTGTTACAAGCTGCTCTGAATGGAGAAAAAGCTGTCAGCTTTTAACTGCCTGATACTAGGTGAGGCTCTGCCGCATCTGCCTTCCCTGACCGCACGTCCCTGCCTCAGGAATACACCAACAGGAAAAGTCATTAAGCTGACCATACACCTATAGATTTTCGATCAGGAATTTTCGTTGCTGCCAAGAACCCTTTTTCAATTCTAGCACAAATAGCCCATCAAGCACCGACCAATGTTGATTTCGATAATCGTTCGTTAACAACAACTCACTGAATTTTATCGATCGACAGAATGGATTTTCGTTTGCGCATGTGCAGTGTTCTTGCTGTGATTTTTTTCGCACAAAAATGCTACTAACATATCGATTTTCGTACGATTCGAAAAAAGTTTTCCAGCCTCACCAATCAATGAAATATGGCCAGAAGTACAGTAATTAAAACCGTTGGCGTCCCATCAATTGATCAATTATCGTTCAAAAGACCATTCGTGGACGATTTCCGAACAAAAATCGATAGGTGATAAACACCACAGAGGAGCAAAACCAAAGCAAGGCAGTCTGACATAAAAAGGAGCTCAAGATGAGGACAAAACTAGGAAGCAAAAGCCAAAAAGCAAAAGGCCAGACTAGGAGCAGGACAGAAACAAGAGTGAACTAGTTGCATTTAATGTTTTAAGCTCAATCCCTAAAATTTTCAATATCCTCATTTTCTGAAACCTACAAAAATGTAAGTTATTTTGTTCCATAGTGCCAAGCCCATTTTCCCTCTGAGAAACACCACCCTTGCACACTGGATCATGATAGGTAGTTTGCACAGAACAGAATCATATGACAATGAGTGCAACCCTACCTGGAGGCAGTAATGAAGCTGACCATAATGGTTAATTAAAAGCCTAACCCCGGGCACAATATTCTTCCCAAAGGTCAGCATATTCAGTATTGCCTTTCCTGTAAGGCCACCTGCCATAATCAGAACTTCCTCCTTCTCCCCGCAAACCATCTTGTATACATGTGGGTGGAAGTCCACTTCCTGCTGAACATCTGCGCTCATTCTAGCTGTAAGCATCGTAGGTCTCATAGACCTCAGTGCTGCAGTCGCATCCCCATCCCTTTCTCTTCCTGGCCAGTCAAAAACCAAATGGCCCCATGCTCTGTTTTGTGTTTGGCTAGGAGGAGAGCAGGACAAAAATGGGAATGCAGCACTGATGTCTACAAGACCTGCAGCCCTTACAGCAGGAATAAGCATGCAAGGTCAGCGGGAGCTGGACGTCCACCTGCATGTATGTAAGATGATTTGCAGGGACTTAAACTAGCACTTAACCCTTGCAGTGCGGGGGTAGCCCCACTGCAAGAGTTAATTAAAAATGATTTAAGGAAAACTGAGTAGACTTGCTGACTGTAGCATATTGGCAATGTTACATAGCTAGCATTATCAGTTCACTGATTATAGTTGTTGATTTAAGTCGCTCTTTTCATGTTTCTGCACATCTCCAGCAAATGTTACCTTTCACTGCATATAAGCAAAGAAACTTGTATTTAACAATATACTTAATTCAGCAAATGGTACACAGCCCTGTTCCTTTCTTTGAAATAATAATTGACAACTGTTTCATTTTCCTGTAAATAATGGATGTGGAAATGAAATAGGAATAAAGAAACAAACAGAAAATCTACCGGAAGTCCCTAAAAACTTTGATATTCCTTGGCCTCTACAGACATTTCACAATTATTTTTAGAACAAATTGGTACTGCTTTTTAGTTTCATGTTAAGATTTGTGACATTCTTGCCTTCCTTTGTGATAAAATAGGGCGAAACTTGTGCATATTACCCCACTATTAGGAAGATGGGTATTGGAAGTGGTCACCTTAAAGAAGAACTCTTTGGGAAAATCAAAATATACCCTTGCAGTGGGGCTGCCCCTGCTCTGCAAGGGTTAACTGCTCATTTTGTCTAGAGGACTTAAATAAAACTGTATTACTCACCTAATCCTCTGTTCCGCCAACTGCCTTTGGCTGTCAAACCGGTCCATGCAGCCTCTTCTGCCCTGGGCGCCCTGGGCTCCAGTGGGCTAAGGATCGCTGGCATCTTCACGTGTTATGCAGGTCCATTGACCTGCATTAGTCATAAGGACGCTAATACATTCCATAGCTGAGTAGAGGGGGAGAGAGGTGAGTGCCGAGTCCGACCGCTGCAGGAACAAGGATTAGATAAGTAAAACTGATTTATTTGAGCCCCCTAGACAAAATGAGCACTTAAGCTTTGCAGTGCGGGGGTAGCCTGCATCCTGCTGATATTCAAGAGGAGCCACTTGTGAATATAGGTGTCCAGCCAGTAAAGCGCTGTGAGAGTGGGACCCAGAAAGTTTAGAAGACATGCAGAAAACCTAAGGACTGTGTTTGATGTGTATCTAAAGGTTTCTGTGCTCCCTTCACCCTCTTGCCCTGTATATTGATGCATATGTGCTATTAAACATCATCTGTAAAAACTAAACTGGCATCCATCCACCCATAAGTGGGTCTATATCATTTGTAATGTCACCATTGAGTAACAGAGAAGCCATATTTCCTTGAACTATGTCTGTGTGGTTACCAATAGTGCTACATTAATATGCCATATTTTATATCTAACTGACTAAAAAAAAATTGTGGCAATAATAAATGTGTACAAAATCATCATATACTGTATATATATAGATATATCTATAAATAGATATATCTATATCTATATATAGACATATCTA